CTCAAGGTATTGATTGTTAATTGATCGTTCGACATTGTTTTATTACAAAATAGGATATATTCAAAAGGTTAACCACATGAAATAATATTGATGTAAAAAATCGTGCTTTGCTTTATTGATTATAATAAAAATCGAAAAGAATCAATCTATCTATTGTTCTATACTATTGACTACACTACAAATTTTTCGTTTGTCTAAGCTATCTGTACCAACACATTATCCCTACAATCCGGTCTCATTTTGTTATTGATATTCTGAATAGAATAAAAATAATTATCAGTTGTGCGAAGCATGCAATTCCTCAATGTGTATCAGTTGGTTGTCCACTTATCTTTTTTCGAACTCTAGAGAAGGGTTAAGGTTTATATTGCCTGCCTTTTTCAGTTTTAATAAATTTCTCGGAAATCTGTATGAAAGGGTGGGTCAAGTTGATTCATTGAAATGAACGTCACAACCAAAATATTCATATCTTAAAGAATTTTCGCCAATAACAGATATTACCTAAACTACTTGGAATAACCGAAAGAACCTTGCTTTTGATGAAATATGTTATGGTGGAGCAATGCAAATTCGTGAACTTGAAGGTTAAATTTTATAATAGAAATAGCCCTAATCAATTATTTTTTTCGCATTGTTCAAATACGTTACCCGTGATCATGGCATATGAGCAAGGCAGGCATCGCAAATGAGTTAAAAACAAATCATTCAACTATTGAGCACAAGGTCAACGCCTAACACATCGCGATATATTAAATGGCATAAATAGAGTAAATTGTGGTTTATTACAATTGTTATTTAGTACGAAAATGCAAAGTTCCTTTTTTTCAACTACGAACTATTCTTAATGAAACTTACCTTTACATCAAAATCATACAAAAAATTTAAGGAATCTACTCATTTGACAAACGTAGAAATTTTCTTTAAGAATTATGTGGGCGAGGGTTATACTTACAGACAGAACGCCATAGAAAAGGAATAAGTGATAACATAAAAATTAGCAGTACACGAAAATATTACGATAGCCTGAAAATGTGACATATATTCATTAATTTATATAATATATTATCACTTAGCTCAGATCGGTGCTTCTAAATTTTAACTGTGTGCGAAGTGGAAAGTTATTAACTGAGTATGATACAAGCTTGAGGCTGGCGACTATCAAGAGATAACTTGAATACCAACTGTCTCATAACTTCACCGCCAAATGAGTGGACCAGCGTGAAATTATGGCGTCTCCAAGGTAAATACATACCAAGGGAAGCACTCGCCGCCAAGAGGGACAGCACGAGTAACTCCAGCAAAGTCAGTAGATCAACTGCCGCCGCCATAGAGTGGACCAGCACGACAGTTGTTAGTCACCAAGCAACTCATAACTTCACCGCCAAATGAGTGGACCAGCGTGAAATTATGGCGTCTCCAAGGTAAATACATACCAAGGGAAGCACTCGCCGCCAAGAGGGACAGCACGAGTATCTTCAGCATAGTTGCACCCTCTTTATTTTTTAACCATAATAAAATGTCTTATTTTGACAAATTTGCACAACGAATGAAATAATATCTGTCACGTGTAGTGACGCGTTGATTTATTACTAATCAAATTAATAAAGTGATTAGTCAACCATGACTGCTGTGTTAAGATCCACGAACTTCTTAAGTCATAAGATTCCTGACGAAGAAAAACTCATGAATATTTTAAAAAGGTAGAAGCTAGGTATTGGCAATTGAAACAGTATTTGGGCTTTCTGACGCGTCAATATTACCCTGGAGCACTGTATACAATGATTGGAAGCAGTCCCTTGTCTTTATTTTTAAAGACTACGCTAAAAAAGTTCTTAGCTCTATATCTAGTTTTTGTAGAGATTTATATAATATTTGTGATACCTTTGAGGGTGTCATTGTACGCAAAAGCTGTGAGAAGTTTTATACCGAATTTTATCAATGGAATATTGACCTGCAAATTGCTGAGAGACGTCGGCTTCTGGAATCAACTATATTTTCAGAACAAAAATTTACAGAATTCTTAGAAGCATCGAGCAAAAAGCGAATAGGGGAGGAAAAACGAGTTCGTCACAATGAATATAATGTGGATTTCGTACCTGAATTGGTTTGTACTTAAATCCATATTGTTTGTTATGTGTAATATGTTATTGACACTACTTGTTCTAACTTATCTTACAAGCCCCAAAATCGCGACGCAGAAGAAAGTAAAGACAATCAGACGGTATAAAAAATCTTAATTAATTGTTAAATGATATTAAATCAATTGACTAACTTCTTAATTTCTTGGATAGTTTGATTTACCTAACAATCAGGAAGAAGGTGTTGAATATGATGACGAAGTTAAAAATCTTTTAGACGAATCAGAAATCCATTTACAGGAATTATGCACAATTTTAACCGATTTTAGAACCTACCAACGTGAAGTAAAGAATATTCTTTCGGAAAACGGAATAATAGATTTAAGTCCATCTTCTGAATTTGTTCTCCTGCATCTAGAAGAAACGAAGTATGTCACATTAATTAAAAAGGTCTTTGAGCCGATCGACAAAATCTTTCCAGAAGAAGCCTATGAATTTTTAATCAATTTCTTTTCAGAGGCAATGTTATCCAACTAGTGTGCTTCGCTGACGGATTGCAGATCATATAATTATCGTACCACGTATTAATTCAAAAGAATATAAATATATGATCCGTCCGATTTGATAATAGATAATATTAAACTTTTTTTCTCTTATGTCATTTTATTACAGAAATTGAATGAACAGCAATGGGAAGATAAAATCGAAAGTTTGATGGAACTTAACTCAAATCAAATAAATTTATTATAAAATTAAAAAGATTAATAATTGAAACGTTGCCGATTTTGTAAGTATTCAAGGAGTGCATCTTTTTTTTATAGATATGTACTAACATTTTACAATTTATAGTTTTGACTCCTATAAATTAATGTCTGATAATCCACTTAAAAATAAAGAAATAACTGAAGAGGAGTACATGAATACCTACATTCATCCGATTTTAAAAAAAAAGCATTGATCCGATTTTCTGACATTAGATACGTTCCGTAAGTATAGATCTTCATCATTCTTACCTTATTACTATGTAGCAACAATGTATTTGACTTTCATCATACTCTTGTAGAGGCAGCAAGGCTATCAAAGCCTCCACATATTGAAAAAGTGTGATGAACCAGAAAGGAAGTGCAGATTGGACCGTGGAATATCCTACATGTCAAATCAACAAAACTCTTATGAAATATCTGTCACAGAAGGGAGCCGGCCGTACGTTACTGAAAAAAATAAAGATACCTGTAATTTCATTCAAAATGAAAGAGCCACAAAGGATATGATTAACTTTGTTGTAACACAAAAAGTATTGCATAAACAGTCACTTCCATCAGATTTTTGAACATTCATGGTTCAAGTTTATGAGTTTAATCTGCGGTTCTATTTTATGGATTATCTTGGTATGTACAATGAGTAATCAAAAATCACTGGACAGTTGAAAATTTTTAAAAAACTTACTAAAATTAAAATGCTAATTGTACCACAACGAGTGATCTAATTTGCACAAACTTTTTTTATTAGATTCCCCTAAACCAGGGCTATCATATGATATATTTTGTGTTAAAATTGAATGTTTGTACATAGAGAAATTATGCTTCAAATAAAATGGACAAAAAGTAATAAATCTAATCTTTGAACATTACACATGTTGGAATCGATGAATTTTAAAGATAAATATCAACTGTCTTATATGAAATTGTAGCCAAGAGCAATTCCTACAACTTTAATTAGAAACATTTTTTATAGTATCTAGTGAAATTTTTGACTTTAATTAGATGTGAATGAAAATGGTCAAAATTTATTAAAAAATTTTTAAAAAAAAAAAATCTGAAAATAATTATCAATTGTTTTTATATATAAAAGTATTTTCTTTATTAATATGATAATAAAAATGATACCAAGTAAAATCAAAGCTAAGAATATATTTTTATCTTGTGTAAAGTATTTGGATTTTTTTAATAAAATGTGAGTGAATAATAAGCAATTAAATTAAAGAGAATAATTTCAGAATATTTGAAGTTCAGCTGTTGATATTAAATTAAATTTGTAAATAAAAAAATTCTAAAAACTTCATAAACAATGCTTCCCATTCTTGGCTATAAGATTAATTAGTTATACATTTGATGGTTA